GAGAAAAGATTTACTTTTTGCACGATTTCGAGCATTCATCGCCTTGGCAGATGTCACAAGATGTAATCAATGGAATTTCATAGAATTCTCGTGCGCTTCGTGCTGCAAGAAAAAGAAGGAAATAATGTCATTAATTCAGCTGTTTTTTTTTTTTTGATAAAGATGTAAAAAATATCTCGAAAGACGTACAGCTGTCATAGTAATCGTAGATTTTCACTGGCACCGGTTTGTTTTCGGCCACTTTATGCGAGCGATATCCTTGAACTTCCAGGCAAATTTCCTCGTTCGCCAACATTTGATCGAAGTAAATATGTGCCACCGTTTCACCGTTTGTCGTTTCAACCAGTTTGATATTTGGCTTCTTCAAAAACTCATTCAATCGATCTTTTTCGATGAGAAAACCACTTGGCATTCCAACTTCCACAATCACCATATTCGAGTGCGTCTCACTTTCGCTCTTTGGGTTGAATCTAAAAAATGGTAAAATTAATAAGTGATTCGTGTTGATTTGATAAGTCACTCTTACCTTGAGCAAATTTGAACATTCAAGTGACCCGCCGTGGTTTCAAGCACTTTTGGTTTCAATGTGAATGTTTCATAAACATCACTTTGGTTTAGATTGTATCGATATGATAGCTGGAATAAGGCAAATCCGTGGCCAGAGGCGGAAAGTTTGATCGATTCTGTGTTCGATGGCATATCAATGGTTTGTAAAACCAATCCGTTTTCATTATTAACGGTAAGAATGCGATCTTCAGTGTTGTCAACATGAACGTTGAGCCCAACATTATTGTCCTTGTTTGATAAGAATCGACCATATGTGGCCAATGATTCCAATCCAATGACTGTATCTTGTGTTCCAATAAATCCACCACGATCATTTCGTTTGCTCAACAGCCACCTGAAGTAAGGCAATGCATCAGCGAATCGTTTGGCTTCAATGAGCGAAAGCAATCCATATGAAGTGATTTCAATATTTATTGATTCTGATGGGCGTTGATTGGATTTCGATTTACTCCACCATTTCAGTTGATCTGTAAAGAGATTAAGTGATGTTTCATGTTTAAAAGGTTACAATAAATTGAACAAGTACGCATCAAATTAATAATTCACCAACCTTTGACTACTGATTTACCGACTAAGTCATCCAATGCTTGATCTTTCGTTGAATGGCCGGCCAATTGAAGTGCATACACAGCAACGGACTCAGTGTATGGATCATCGATTTGTTTAAGATTCGATGCAATATTATTGATAGCTTTGGTAACTACTTCTTCATATTTCCAATCCGTTGATTTCTATAATTGAGTAGAAAATCGAAGTCAAAATCATTTTTGTCTTGCTACAACTTTTAATTCTGAGTAAACGAACCTTATTTCTCAAGAAAGCAATTGCGGTATATGCGGTTAGAGCAACACCCTTGTTTGATCCGCCTTGCATGGCCTGATGTGAAATTTGTCCCATTTCAGGGAAGCTTCCGTCAGCCGCTTGAACTCCACTGAGGAATTCAAGAGCGTCATCAACCACTTTACTATCAATGTCAATATACGTTTCAGCTTGTTTGAATGATTTTGCAACGAAGGCCGTTAGCCATGTGCTGCCCTTGCGATCGAGTTTTCCAAACGAACTGAACGATCCGTTGGCATGGCGATAAGTTAACTCGCGCTGATATCCGCTCAAAAGATACTTAACGGCTCTGTCTTTTATTAACGGATCGATATTACCAGCGGCACTCAAATAATCCAGAACCACCACATTCGGCACAAACTTCAGCATATTTTGTTCACCACAACCAGTTGGCAATCGAATGAGTTGATGCAAATTTTGTATCGCTCCACCCAGTAAATCGCCAATTGCATTCACATTGATTTTCAATGAACCAGGAACAGCATTCTCTGGTACATCGACCTTTTGAATCGTTTCAAATTTGTCGGATTCACGTAAATCAACGAACACCGCCTTGTTGATGAATTGTGGAACACCTTCTGGATCGACCTGTAAGAGTCTCTCGACGGCATCGCCAGCAACAGCAGACGTGGCGCTCACTTTCAATGGAATCTGCCCAACCGAACTGAATCTGATGAGGAATGTTTGTGTAACACCTGAATTGGAAGCAACTGACACTTGACGTTTGCGAGAAGATTGATCGCCTTCAATATCGTCGACAAATTCAAATGCACCATTCTCATTTTGAAGTACCAGTTCAGCAGTAACATCCATGTTCAAATAGTTGAATAACACCACCGGCACTGCAACCACTTCGCCACGTTTCACGGAATACGGAAGATTCAATGACACGAAAAACGGTTGGAATACATTCAATTCCCTTGGTTTTTTGGTCAAACCTAAACCGAATTGGTTATTAACAGAGAAAGCACTGATCACCCACGATGTGATTGTGTCTGGCACTTTTTTGTTAAGCGTTAAAGTTCCATTCGGATTATTAACATCGACATCTTCCCACAGCCATGTTTCTGGGAATTCGGTACGAACTCGTGGTGGTTCAACTATTGCTCCATCTGTTCTATCTATAAGAATTTCGTTGTTCAGTACGGGTGCGGCTGCAAGTGCTGATGGGTATGCTGCACCAGCAGCACCATAGAAACCAATTCTACTAGGTGTAGTTGTTGTATAAGCATAAGAATGGAATCGTTGAGCAATATATTTGTATGTTTCTTGTTTTGCATTGGTGAATAGAATGAAGTCGCTATATTCAAATGGTCGGAAATAGTCGTTTATATATTGTCGTGGTTCAACACTCCATGCACCAAATTCTGTCGGATAGAACTTATTTTGATAATTGTTCATTTCATCAAATGCTTCTTGTTTTGTTAATCCGTCGTTTTTCTTCAACAAGAGTACGCTTTGATCCACACCAACTAAGCCAACGTACGAATCTGGATTTGTAATGACGTCGATGCTAATGTCTTTGCCTGGTTGCGTTTCGTCTTCTGACAATTTCAATTTAACGAAATTATTCAAATCATCCTCGATTGAAATTTCGTTTCTTGTGGCAACAATTTCACCATTTTTGACGCGATAAACAATCAGTGTGGCCTTTGGCACAAGATCAAATGTTGCTTTAAATTTGAATACGTGATATTTCCGATCTGGCACAGCAACATTCTCTGCATAAATCAATTTTCCGTGGCCAATGACTTGATATGTGAAATTTTGAAGTTGATGACTCGACTGCACTTCAACGAAAACATTTTTGTTTAATGTCGGACTGGAATAGAAAATGATCGATTTAATATTGGTTTTTATTCCCAAAAAGAGTATTTAATATTTTACCGTTTGGTTAATACTTTCGCCTCCAATTCAGATGGTTCAGCAACTGTCAGTGGATAGAAATAGCCAAAGTCCGATTCTTCATCCACATATTTAACCTAAATTTAATAAAACAATGTCAATAAATCACGATCTTCTTTTTGATTATTCAATTATCAATTCTTACCTGCAAATAGAAGTTTGTTTCATTCGAACGTGTTGGTATTCTAATATTGGCGTTGGCATTTTCGTTCAATTCAAATTTGTAATATGTGACACGCTCATCGGAGTTGAATCGATCAAAAACTTTGCCAATTGTAATCCATTTGGTCTCCTCGTTCAATAAAACTGGCGAATTGTCGTGATGCTTAACGCTAATCTATTTGAATTAAATTTCATGATTAATTAAATGATATTTGTGGAAATTTCAAAATGATCTATTTGATTTACCGAAAATGTGAGCGGCAGCCCCGGGCTAAATTCATGAGTTAAATCCGATGCTTCAACCTTATAGCGTGTTTTATGAAGTGTTATAATTTTCGATGCACTTTGATTGCGACCGGTTAGCTCCTCAACGACCACTGCTTTTAATTCGTAATTTCTCTGGCTGGTATATTCGGAGAATTCAACTCTCAAATCATTCTCAACATCGAATTCGACATTTCCCTTTCCATCGATCGGAATGGTTTTCACGATGCTGTCTTCATTTTGATGTCTATTGTTCGTTCGGTAATACGAGTATGATGCTGTTGGAGTGAGTGATACTATAGCTTCGCCCTTCAAAAATTTTCCATAAGTGTATTTTGAGCGAACGATTGCATGAATTTTGCCATTTTTCGCGGAAAATTCTGTTGGTGCATCGATGGTGACATCAAACTTCGGTAAAACATATTCAGCTACTTCGATTTCTTTCGTTTTTTTCTCTTTTCCAACTTGAGCCTCGAATTTCCAGCTGCCCAATACCGGCAGTTCGGATAGTTGAATTTGGCTGGTAAATACGCCCATCTTTGGAGTCACTTTAAGCCATTGCTTGATACGGTTCTTTTGTGGGTCGGTAAAATAAATATTGAGTGGGCTGTCTGTCTTCAATGTAGCCGGTTTCAATTCATAATCGAGCACCAAGACACGGAATTTGATCGTTTCACCTGGTTTATAAATGGCTTTATCGGTTTGAATGAAAATTGAAACTTCTTTCGATTCAATTTTCAACGCCGATTCATTCCGAAATATAAGTCCCGAAACGCCTTCTGCCACGAACTTATAGCCCTTTGATACATCCAAATCATCGATATGTAATGTCACCAATTCGGTTTTATTTGATGTGATTGTGACTTCTTTTTCGTTTTTGTATTTCAAACCATCTTGGATGCTCAAGCGAATGGTGCTGGGCTCAACACCGTCATGCAGTGTTAACGATACTTTATAATCAATATGTGGTCGAATGTGTTGAGGGGCAACGATTGTATACAATCTATTTAGAAAAATTCAAAAAATAATTATTTATTTTGTTTTATTTCTATTTTATCAACAAGGAGAAGATAATTTAGGGTCAAGCTATGCTGTTTGAATGTTATAATAAATCTGTCTTTTCATTCATTATCT